GTCTGTACCACGCGTTATCTTTTATCTATCACAGCGGTTGAGCCATTCCGTGCCCTCCCTCTTAGATCTTACGTCTTGCTAATCTTGAATAATAACTTCCTACACAAATCCTAAACTATCCTAAAATCCTATTTTAACTAATTGAATTCAATAATATAACTATTGTCATTAATTAATCGACTTTCTATCTGGCGACTTCGTAATATATTTTTGATTGTCGTCACGTTGAACACTGTTGCAATTAACTTAAGCCCCCCCCCCATTTGCATTTTTTGAGCCCCCCCCCAAGAATTTCAATGACGCAGTCTGCGTCACAGCCCCCCCTTGTGGGCACCCCTGAATAAAAGCAACTTCACTTCAAGTATTCCACTACACCTAACATTCCGTAGAGAGATTATATTGACAACTTTATGTTATTGATAAGGCTGAGACAACTAACTGACATCCCCCATGTCAAGGAATTCCAGCTTTAACAGTAACCCCACAATCAATTTCTCAAAACTATGCTAGAGGGTTCATTCATTTGGCACAGAAGTACGATATGAACTGACACGACGTGACGAAGGAAAAATCAAACTTACACTGTAACGGATATACCTCCCTTTGAAGTTAGAAAATGTCTTCCCGAAAAAATATTTTCTTTTCAAATAAAATCATATTACACTGATGAAATCACGGAAGTGTTTAACTACAAAAGATCCACCAATACGATTTTAATACTATTTAAAGGCTCTTCCAAAGGAAGAGATACCATATAACATACTAATAATAACTCCGATGACGTACAGTATAGGAAATATTTTTATCATTGAATGATCAATCAAATTTGGCAACTAACGCAATTAATATCATTATTGTTTTTACTCTTTAAAACAATGCTAAATGCTCAAAATATGTATATTTCACCCAATTTATCGCAGTTAGATGAATTAACGTAAGCCTTGAAAGTAACCGTCGATTTCAACGGGTTTCACCTAGTATAATAGATTTATTGTAATAGCATTACACGTAGTCCCAAATAATATGACTGCTTTCATAAATTAAAACGGTTCAAGAAACTGCTTTCAGAAACTGACGAAAATAAAACGGTTCAAAGATGCGTTTTAATTGTCTAACTTAATGCGTTCTGGAGCATTTTATAACTAATCAAAATATTTTAAATGGCTGTTTTGCTGTTCCCAGAATTATTTGCTAAACTTTTACTTTTTTTTATTAAAACCTCCAATTTTTAACCTCCAAAATTATGCCGCCCTTAAAATTTGCCTATTCGGAAATATATCCCTGATCTTTGGTGGTTATTTATGGTTATTCTAATAGAAATAATACATAAAATATAAATAGACATAAGACAATTGCATAATCTTATCCCCTACCTAGGCTATAAGAATAAAAGACAGATAAAAATTTCCACTCCTTTACCTTGTACTTACTTTTCTTTACAACTAATAACAAAATATTAGTCAATGCAAAAACAGCACAACAAAAATAATTTAGAGCTACATGACATGTAGTCGAATCTGCAGTTGTACATATAAATAACATAATTTACAATAACTTTTGAACCATAATTTTTACAGAAATGGGAGTCATACCATTTTGTTCGGAATTTAAAGAGCTACAATAACATACTAAATTTTTATCAAAATCGTTCGGGCCATTTTTGAGAAAATCCGATTTTTCTGTTTTTTTTTATAGGTTTTTATGGGAAAATCACCATTAAAAATAAAAATTTCAAAAAAATGAAAAAACGTCTGAAGATACCATGGATTAGTACTGTTGTGTCAGTGTTAAATAAATAAAAGTGTTCATGTTCTTGTCTTTTATTCACAAATAGAATTAACACTAAAATCATAACAACAAATAAATGTAAATAATCATTATATCTGAACTGAGACAGCTGACTATTAAGAAAGGCATATAGAAATCCTACAAGGTATATATAGAAATCCTACAAGTACCTACATACCAAATTTCATCAAAATCGGACTACAGGTGTGGTCTGTAGCTCTGTACACATCCGCAGACACACAGACACACACACACACACACACACACAGACATAACTTCGAAAACCACTTTTTTGGGTTCAGGGGGGCCCAACATCTATATATCCACTCGAAACTCAAACTCAAAAATTTTGACGAAAACAATACTTTCTCTACATACTATGGTATAGGGGGAGAAAGTAAAAGTAGTATATCAATCTTTATCCACGATTTAAAAGACAAAAAAGGTTATTATAAACACACACCAATTCACTTGAAAGGACTCGGGCAACTAAACGCATCAAGACCTACAGTACTGTATTGGAATTTGTGTGTAAGAAAAATCCTGCCAGTTGTTTGGAAAAAATCACCCACATGGTAACCACAGCAACAGCATATTTAGGGGTTATTCCATTAGACCTACAACTAACAACCAAGTTTATAAACCATACATTTGTGACAAGCTATAAAAAGTAAATGCATGTTGGTGTCAACAACAGTTGATGTCGGTCCAGTCAGCTCAGACCACGCGTCAACCCCAACTATACTTTACACCAAATCCTTTCGTCAACCTGATTGATTACGTTGGTCTGATTTTTAAACGTGTCATTGTGCCCGCTGCTAGTTTGTGATTCGCTATGGGCCCAAGAGGTAAATCACGGCCCAAATTGCACCCATCTCAAAATAAGTTTAGATGTTAGATGTAGATGAATTGATTTTATTTAAGATATACTGTAATAGACTTATTTCAAGCATTGAAAACTCTACAGTCAACACCTAATGACTGTTTTCCTACATTTTTTTGGCTACTTGTTAATATCATCATCAAAGCTCATTTTTAGGGTTGCATCACTTTCTGTACACATAATCATTAACTTAGGTCATAATATAGGCTTAAATGATTGTTAATAACGCTGTAAGCTACTTATTTTAGGAACGTTTTGTAACGCTTTTTGACTGTACAAATGTTTTTTCTCTTTCTTAACTCACTGCCACTTAGTTTTTTGCTTATTTCACAGAAAAAGGGTGTGATATTAAAATGTAAAATACAACTTGTCAAACGTGAATAAAATCATAAGCAAAGACACAGCAGTAACATTATTTACTTACCATTATATGTTTCTTTTTCTCATCCGATTTGAGAAAAGGAACTACCATTGATGAGTAATGACAAAATTACATAAAATGAAATAGCTACAAATACACCTCTCTCGCTATCTCAAGCCCAAGCCAACTTAAACTAGACATAGGTGCCTTTATACAAGCCAGTTGCTTGTTGCAGTGGTTTAATGAAAATCTCCTCCAAATAAATTCAGTGTAAACACAGCTTGTTGAATTTTAAATAAAAAAAAACTTATTTTGGACGACACTGAAACAAAAACCACTGTTCAAGTAAAATTCCTGAGTTTGTTGTTGGACGAGAACTTTTGTTTCAAACCCCACATTGATTCTGTCTGTAGAAAGATCAGTTCAGGAATGTGCGTCCTAGCAAAACTTTTCAAATAAAGACGTTCTTCTTACTGCTTATTACGGTGTTCTTTATCTACACATGATATATGCAGATGCACTATGGGATGGTGAAAGCACCAGAACCCACTTCTTTTTACGCCTTCATGGGAGAGCCATCGGAATAATTTCCATTCTTCCCTACAAACATACTTGTAGAGCCATATTTAAATCATCTGCAATTTTAACATTCCCCTGTATTTACATTCTGTAAGTCATCACGTTTCTAAAGTCCCATACTGGCTGTGTCTGTATGAGGTGTGAGCAAGTACCCCCACTGCTCCTAAATACTATCCAATCACACACATACAGACACAGACAGGAGAAGAAGGATAAGGATCGTCACCCCCAAAGGATAAAGGACATGCCTTATCACCTTCAGATAACATAAGTTTAAAGGTATCACTCTAAAGGATAAAGGACATGCCTTATCACTTCCAGATAACAAGCTTGCAAGATAAATTAAAGGTAATCTACTTTTTAGGGTGTTATTATTCCAAACTTGTCACTATAAAGCATAAATAATTAGTCTTTCAAACACTATACAACACGTTTTTAGGTTAGGTTAAACCAAAGTGTTGAACGGAATGGGAAACACTGCCCCAGCTGATTGTAGTCGTAGTATCTCAGTGTTACTTTATATTTAGTGTTATTTTCAAGAGTACATGTATAAACAGTTAATAATCAGTATAAACACCCCTCTCAAACCAACAACAAGCAAATTAACAATTAATGAAAACTGAAATGAAATTCTTTATGTTAACAAATAAAAATAGTCTCCAAATAGTTGAAGACTTAATCACCTTTGATTGTTCTGCAAAATATGCCAATAAAGCATTTTCTGACAATTTTTTAACTTTCTTACTTACGCACCAAGAAGAAAACAGTTTGTATGCTCGTTCATCGTATATATGAGTAGTTTTAGGTTTAGACTTGGCTATAATGCATGTAATAATAATGTCAATCTGGCCAAATAAATGAGTTATTGAGTTATTAATAAAGATAAGGCAGAACATGTAGCGACATATATGCAAGCAGTGAGTCATGAATGGGAACTAAAGTGAAGAGAATTCTACCGTCGAGCAATTTCAGATATTTTCCAAATATTTTCTGTTGCTTGCGCCTCCAACTAAACAAAAAAATCTTACGCCCCTGGGCCCGGGCCCATTTGAACTTCGGCAGTGTATGTCAGTAGCGAACATGTTAACCTTGCCCATCCACATAGGCTACTGACCTGTGCGTGGATTGTGTCCAGCAAAGCAAGGGGTGAGCCCATTCAGTACAAAGGTGAAGTGTACTGATAAAAAGTAGCGGCAGGTACCAGGATTCGAACCCACGACATCGCTACCTTAGCCCCGAAGTCCATGACGTTACCAACTGAGCGTTAGCATAGACTGGGAGTATGTTTTATCTATGGCGTTAGTCTCTTACCCTATATAGATTTGATTTTTTAAAATTACATAAATGAACTAAAAGGATAAAAGGCAAAAAAAACTTATATTACTGTACCAGAGGTTTTTGTTAATAGGTATATGTGCCAGAGAGATACAGCCCCAGGAACAGAGAGCACAGAGTAATCCCCAAAACAGCCAACGGACAACTCTTGGGCGACCTTCGGAGTAAGTGAGCAATGTACTGCCAGCCTGCACTCCCAACATTACTTGTACTACCGAGGTCAAGCAACCTGCACAGTCATAAATATACGTGGATACAGTAGGCTACATGTAGTCAAGTTAAAAGTTTTAATCAATTTATTTCTTTTACAACTTCATTTACTTTTATATTATTTAACTTTCATGTGACTACACCCAGTAACATTCACAAAGGGCTATCATACGTTGGTGTATTATTTCTTAACACCTATTATAAAATCCCTTTAATATTTTATTTTTTGGATTAAATCTATAGTTACCCAAGAATCCTTCTGGATCAAAAGGAGCAGTGTGATAAACCTCGCTAACTGTTGATCTCTGGAACAGATGACTTTCCCCCACCAACAGTTGATCTATGTATCGGCTAATTCCTCCAGTGCAGTTGGAGAAGATGCCCATGTCTTGGATACCTCCTGCATCTATGTACCCTCTAGCCAACAGAAGTTAAACTCATGGTGGATGGAGTGAAAGGTCGATTTTCAAAAATAGACATGCTTAGGCCTATGTTTAATATTGAACATAACTTTCTGTGAAACCTACTATATTCTTTGTCATTATTATTACCTATTATTTTTAAGTTTACATGTATTTTTATTATTAGTACTGGGGGACCGAGCCTTGCTCGGTTTGATCAGACACATTTTATCATTAACAAAAATAGTTTTATTACAAACCAAAAAAATTAATCGCTGAAATAATATCAACTGTGTAATCTGTGTCTAATTACACCCGTTTCATAAATCATAGCATTTAGATTATTTACAGTACCGTGACTTGAGTAATAACATTTTGTTTTAATATTAACCACTGACATAACTGTACTTACACTTCTGTACTTATATAAACTGTGAACTAATAGTTTTCTGACGTTTTGAATTTTTAATGGCAGCAATAATGAAATGCTATGTAATAGTGTGTTTAAGGCTATCTGTAGGCTATGGGGAGTAGAGGCCACCCCCCACGCATAGCGGATCAAACTGTATATTTCAAGCGACCCTATTTTCTACCTGCAGATTTCTGGATCAGTTTGGATGTTGAAGAACTACCCTCTGACCACGGATCAGTTCAGACACACGTCATGTGTATTCATGCCATGTCAAATGGCCCCAATCGTGAATATCCAAAATCCGCTGACATGGCAACTTAGAAGTTTGAGGAATTGCAGTGTGCTGACGTTCTTCCAAACGTCGAGCAGAGATTCGTTGACACTCCTGTTCAAGATGATCGGCCTGTTGTTCATTATTTTGCACGGCCATAAGATCTTAAGTTTTTCTCTCGTTTTATTCTTTGATGCACGTCTTGACCGAGGTTTTGAGACATTTGAAATGAAATGAAATGAAATGAATGAAATGAAAAAGTGCTTAATTAACAAAAAAATAAACTGCATAAATACATATGAACTTATAACTAAACATAATCTTCTGCATAACAACAACAAAATTACTAAAAACAGCACATTACAGCAATGGTCATAAGACCGTCTGCCGGGTTGACAACATTTTATTTTATACAACTAAAAATGTGAAATATTTGTAATAAGCTGTAATATGTATATTGTTTTGCTGCTAGACATTGAATTCTAAAACCAAATCCCACCTATACTTCCAAGCCTCTTTAAGAAAATTTGCCAGCGAACGCCAATCCTTACCATTAAGAAAATTTATAAACTCTGAGCGAGTTAAAATAGGTTTCAATAGCCATTTATTTCTAATTTGTGTTAAAATTGGACAACGAGCAACAAAATGATAAGTGTCCTCATTCTCATTTAGATTACACAAAGAACATATAAAATTAGCGTCTGTCATCCAAGGTTTAAAATTTAAGGAAATAGTCTCTGTCCTTACTTTGAATACCCATCGTCTAACAATATCAGGAACGTTATCTGATAGATATCCATTATCTCCAAGGTCAAGATTCAGTGAAGCATAAGTTGTGTGGTATCGTGAGGCCAATGCCGCCTGGACTAACCCCCGCCTGCTCTCCCCCCTTACTGCCTCTACTACTGATAACAGGTGTCGCTGGGTATCCTCAATGGAATTCACATCAAAGGATAATTCAATTCCATGTTTACTTCCAAGACCCTTCCAATCTCTGCTCCAATAAATATTTTCGCTGATTATTTTCTTTGCTAATTTATTTGGTAGACGGTTCGGCGGCAGTGACAGAGCATGTATGATGTAACGAGCATGCATGCTGAGTGTATAAATGTACTCTTTTTCTAGTCCAGTTTCGAGATACAATGCATAGTTGGGAGTATTTTTTGCCAATCCTAAAATTTTCTTTACAAAATAACAAAGAGTCCCATCTACATAATCACTTTCCCATAAACCCCATATTTGACACCCATAACAAAGAGTTGATCTGACAATTGAAAAATAAATAGTGAATTTTTTACTTAAAGGTACATTTTTGTTATTTAGAAATGTATTCCAAATACTGTTAATTGCTAATTTTGAAGAGCTGCACTTGTGTTTTAAATGCAAACCCCAGGATAGTTTAGAATTTAAGTTTATTCCCAAATATTTATAATCATTAACCACATCGATTCTTTCACCTCGAAAATACCATTTGTCATTTTTCCTCAGTTTCCCTCCTTTCCTAAAAACCATAATCTTTGACTTACTTAAATTCACAGTCAAGTTCCATTGTTGACAATATCTCTCAAGGTCATTTATCATTAACTGCAGACTGGTTCCCGTCGGAGCCATCAACACAATGTCGTCAGCATATAACAAAGCCTTAACTTGAACATCTCCAAAAATGCAGCCTCCACTTAATGAATCTATAATGTCATTTACAAATAAGTTAAAACATAAAGGACTCAAAACATCTCCTTGTTTTAGACCGAGGCCTGTTTCAAAGTAGTCTGTTATTCCATCTTTACACCAGACAGCTGACGAAGTACCATTATATAAATCCATTAAAACGCGTAACATATGCATAGAAATACCAAGACATGATAACTTATAAAACAAAGCATTTCTATCTATTGTATCGAAAGCTGAAGTAAAATCTACAAAAAAAGTATATAATTTACCCTTTTTTTTACTGAGACACAATTTTGCAGCATTTGAAAGAATAAAAACATTATCAATTGTCGAATAGCCACTCCTGAAACCAGCTTGATATTCACACAGCTTATCATGATCTGTTATCCAAAGATTTAATCTGTTGTGCAGTAAACTTGTGTATAACTTAGCTACGCAATCTATAAATGATAAACCCCTATAATTTTGTGCAATGTTTTTATCACCTTTCTTAAACAGAGGATAGATAATTGATTGTTTAAAACTTTTCGGTACTTTATTAGTTTTGAAAATATTGTTATAAAAATTCAGCAACTTAACTAAAAATGACTCTGAACCATTTTTAAAGAACTCGTAGGGTATTCCGTCAGCTCCTGGTGCCTTACCATTCTTTACTTTCAATAAAACTGTTTTTAATTCGTTCAAATTAAATTCTTTATCTAGAAAGTCGTCTTGAATAAGAGGAAGCGCATAACAGACATTGGCTGACAGCAGGGGCGGGTTCAAGAGACTCTTAAAGTGTTCTAACCATTCGTTTGGGCTGACTTGACCACCTGTATTAGGACTTTGAATCTTAAAACTATTTATAAGTTTCCATAAACATTTACTGTCTTTAGCCTGAGACAAAGATAAATACATATTGTCAAAGTAAGCAGTTTTTTTTGCTTTAAGTAGATTTTTTAATGATCTGTTGGCCTCAATATATTCATTTTTTATCTCAATTTCATCGCTTTTTCTGTACTTTCTCAATAGTTTAAACACATTGTGCCTAGCTTTAGCGCACTGTAAGTCAAACCATGGCTGTTTCCTTGCAAACTTGAAAGAGTTATTTGTATTTGACTTTACTTGTTTAACATGAGCTGACTCTGTGATGCATTGAATGAGACTCTTAACATTTCTTTCCTCGTCTATGTCCAATTGCAAATTTAAAGCAGCAGTGTGTATTCTTTCCTTAAAATTAAAATCATCAAAATTGGTCCACTTTAATCTTGGAAGTAAAGATAAAACTTGTCCCTCGACTCTGGAATCTAATTCTTTCCTTATCTTAAGAGTTAATTGTATTGGCAAGTGATCTGACCCAATGTACTCTATTATCTTAAAATCACTAACTATTTGTAAACAATGAATTGAAACAAGTGCTAAGTCTATCACTGACGCTCCCAATTTATTTACAAAAGTAAATTCGCCCTTAGAATCACACTTTGTTCTCCCATTCAATACAAGTAATCCAAAATCATCACACATTTCTAAAATTTTTTTCCCATTTACATTTAAAACTGTATCTTTTGACTTTCGATCATAATTTAGGCATGCATTGGTCAGTATATTAGTATCTTCAGTAATGTTTTGCTCACTAGAAATTCGACTGTTTAGATCTCCAATTATGATTAATTTTTTACCATTGTTACCATGGATTATTTCATACAAATTTTCGAATTTTTTTTTTGAGACATTTGGTGAGATGTATGAGCTGGTTATCTACACTAGGGTTATCTTTGAAACCAGGAATTTGGGTTTTGGAGGTTGGTAGGGCATTACATTCGGAAGAAAGCAACTGCAGGTTATCACCAATCACTGCACTATTTACCCCAGAGAGAATCGACCCCCCCCCCCCAGCATTATCATCTGCCCACTTGGAGGAAATAATTTTTTGCAGCTTCATTAGAAAGTGAGAGTGGGAAAGACCATTCCACAGTTTTCTCTGCGCTTGGCTGATTGTAGGAAACAATACTGATATTTGCATTTGTATATTTTTGTAAATATTATTTGCAAAGTGTTCAATTTCCACACTGTCTTGCACACACCCCATTACAGAGCAGATGAGATGATTTAAGTTTTCCTTTTTAAAGTTTTTACTCAGCTGTTCAAATGCTTCATTATAATCTTGTACTGTCGGCTTTCCATTATAATCTTCCTTTGTTACCAGACTGAAGATCGTTGCTCCATTTTGTACTGATTGCATGGTCAGTTTAGAGTCAAGGTAATCAGACTTCTTAGGTCTACCAAATTCTCTTCTGAAAGCAACAACTACACCCGCTGACATATTTCTGCTATGGTGGAGGTCTGCTGATATGGTGTGCGCAAATGCCACCTTAGAATCATTTATGAATTTATCAAACATGTCCTGCATACTGATTTCGACAATATTGATGTTGCCCTGTTTAATATTTGTCGAGTTAGGGAAATTCTTAACAGTTGTTAGATCAAATACCCTCGCCACAGCAAACCTGCCGACTAAGCGAATTTCCATTTTCCTGAATTGATTTTCAATTAAATATATTTAATTTAACAATTAGGTTTTATGAGTACCTAGGCTTGCTGCTACAGGGAGGGTAAAAAGTGTGTTTTTTAGTAAAATATTATTAACTTAGTATAAAATAAAAATTTACCAAGTTTGATCAAAATATAACCATAAACAAGCAAACTACAACATTTTACAATATTCTCCATAAGAATAACATGGGAATTTAAAAAAAACAAATTTTTGAATTTTCTCTGTACCCAATGATTGTACAAAAACAATTTGATATAGTAAATGATTTTTTTTAAGCTCTATAAAAAGGTCTGGAGAGAAATTGGGAAATTTTCTGTTTAGAGGGTCAAAAATTAGAAAGAACAATTTTTACCCCATAAAACCCCCCGTAAAACCTCGTTCCCATGGTCCGATCATCCTGGTTCCCGAACTCATTCAAGTTTATCCCGCCTTACACCTTCAAACCAAATTTCATCAAAATCGGACAAAAATTACTCAAGTTATGGTGTTCACGGGCACATATATATGTGTGTTAAATCTATATATATATAT